TTGCACTGGCTTCTGTTATAAGTTTTTATAGAGGAATTTCAAAGACTCATCAAGTGAATCAAGAGAATAGAAATGATTGTCAAAATTTTGTTGTAATCAACGTTGAAACAAATATTTTTAGATGACTAAACTCATATCCATCGAAAAAATTCAATCTGTCGCCACTTACAATTGCGATCAGTCCAAGAAAGGAAACAAATATCCAGATGATATTGGTAGAGGAGGACATCCAGCAGCTTAGAGTTAGAAAAACAAAAGGCTTGCTTAGCCATCTTGGATAACAATTTACAAACTCTTCCTCTTCTACTCTAATACATGGAGAGATCCACAGCTTGAAAGAAGGGGGTTGCTGGTGAGTAAGGGGGAGGGGGGGTGGAGGCTAGTTAAAAGGGCTGTCATTAAACCCTTGCATTCCCCAAAGCCCGGGTTTACAAATTATAGGGGGCAGGGAAAAGGGAAGGTGACACTAGGGCACCAAGGTTCTTTCTCCTTTACCGTCCCACATTCCCCGCTGTTTTTGCGTTTTTGTTTTTTTGTTTTTTGCAGGTTCATAACTTCAGGCTTCCACCATTTTGTATGGAGTTGACAAAATAAACAAACTTTAAGCTTACTCTTCGTCATTGACAAAAGTTTTGATTCCGTCATTTCCTGCAGAGATGCCCAGAGATATAGCAACCATGATTGCAGGCAGTCCTGACGAAAGTAATATTAAAAAACTGCTAGTTTAAATGAGACATGTAGCAAAAATAATTGAGTTCTAGTGTTATTACATTTGCCAGAGCCGATGACTGTAGACAATGCTCCTTACCCCAGCAAAAGCCATGATAGCGATGCATTTTATCGGTAATGTTGTAAACCTTTACAACAAATAAGTAGATATAAATCCCCTCGACAAGCATCCAGCAAAAACTGGCCATCAGGAAATACTGCATAAGAGCTGCCACAGCTACACAAGCAGCCTGCAAGAAATAGGTAATCCGTAAAAATGTAATTATTTGCCTGACAAATGGTATTTGCTGAAATAACAATCCGAAAAACAGAAAGAAACAAAAACCAAAGTAAACAGAAAGAATAACGCAAAACCAAAACATAGAAAACATGAAAACAAACAAACAAACAAAAAACAGGAAAAAGAATCCCTCGATAGATCAGTCAGTCTTTAAATCGTAGAGAAGCTGGACCAGATTAAAAAAAAAACAAGCAATCAAACAAACAACAAAAAACAAACAAACAATTACAAGAACAGCAACATTAAATGAGTAACACGAAAGTAGGAGTTCAAAGAGTCACCTGGTTTCCAGTGGAGTCGATACCAGCGAAAAATATAATGTGTCCTGCTCCAATGCAGGAAGTCAGACTAACCCGTATGTGACATAAAGGTGAATTTCTGTCTCTACAAACAAGCCAATAAATAATAACTAAATGAAATTGATTTAGCAGTCAGAGAAAAACAGAACAAAGGTCAATGAATTGTAAAAGAAACCACAAAAAAGACAATTGCAAATGATCCACCAAATGAATGAATAAATACGCTGACATAATACATTTTTTACATGAATCAATTAGTGAATAACGAATGGATAAAAGAATACTGACTAAAAAGTTTCTAATTTACACGATTTCTTTTTCACTTACGAGCGGTCTGTGCTGACATCGATCCAGAACTGATCTGATGACTTATTTTCCTTACAGTTAATTTCCCACAATTCAGTAAGATATCAGTGTTAATATAGCGTACTTACGTGAGCTGAAGATAGCTGATAATTGTGAGTATGACTCCCGTGAGAGATAGAGCCATCCCTACTCGAGTGAGGAGTGTCAGTATTTTGTCGTGCTCATCTGGCGAACGAGTTTTTTCCTGATTGAAAAACCGTAAAGGTCATAATTATTTTATCTGTATCAAAGGAAATGTTTATATTAATAAATAAATAAATGCGATAGTTTTAATGCCACTATGTACTGTTTTTAAATCCGCATGACTTTCTTTTTGTACAAGGGAAAAAAATATTCACCTTCCCGTCGTCAGCATTGTCAGCGAATTTCATGAGCACAGCGAAGTGGGTTAGATGATTGCAAACACATTCAGTATGGTGATTAGATATCATCTTTGTTTGACATCCTTCACTTGACCAACTCCCAAAGCTTTAAGAAGAATAAGACAAGGAGAAAGGAGTTAAAATAACTCATTCGATTGGAAACCCCCTCCCCCCTCTCCCTGAAAAGAGTTCAATTCACTGTACTAATTGCTTTAAAGTGACTTTTGATACTTTTAGCTTCCTTTCAGACGAAAACCTAGAAGAATTGATGCTGTTTATAAAACTTATGTTTCTGTGATGCTTACTTTTCTTTAGAGAAGTTCCAGAATACACATGTTCTTTTTTTACGATTCACCCAAAGGAAAAGTAGAGTCAAGTGTTGTGATTCAAAGGGTAATATAGCGAGGCTTCAGTGCTCGCCTCAGTGATGCCTTACTAGTAGCTAACTGGTAAGGCGTCATAGTTATAGAATATTAATATAACCCTCCAAGTTAAAATGTAATTATCAACACGAAGGTCTCTGGGAGAAGTCCATTAATGAGGACTGAATTTTTTATTCAGCAAAAACCAATTTGTTTTGTTTTTTTTTTAATTCAAATTCCTCAAGTCTTCGATGTAAAATCGAGGAGGCCTGCCAGTGTCTAATAGTCCTACCCTTCTGTGATGGCTTGAAGGTGACGAAATTTAATAATTTTCAGGAAGCCTTATGGGATGTAATGCTGATTTTCTAATCAAGTCTTTGGATAGTCTTTAAATTATGGGCTAGTCATCTAACCTTAGTTTGAATTGAAGGAAAAGATGACATCATAGTCACCCATATGAGGGATAAATGAATCGTTGGTGTAACCCTTTCATGAAATAAACAGACAAACAAACAAGCAAACGGCAATTCAATAAAAAAAGGTGAACATAAAACGAAAGAGTAGCGTATATACCTGCATGTTCTTAAAAACCAATGTAACGTTTTCTTTAAGAACCTTAGGCGGAGGGTCTATTACAGCGGACAAAATTACACTGTCAAGTATCCTGAAATAACACAGATTGAATGATCACAAAAAAGTAAATTAATTTTTTTCTATATCTTCTTCAGTCATTACAATAAAATATACATACTTTGTTTTGTTGTCTCCCTCAGCGTCAGCTGAATAGTTTGATAAAAGTTTATAAAGATTGTAGTATTCGATCCCAAGTACTATGGAGTCTGTTTGAAAAGAAAATGAGAAATGTATTTACTTCGGTTTCGACAGATGTAATTTTTTTGAAAAACGACCATGGCTTTGAAATTCTTTAATTACAGACAGCTGAATCATGAAAAAGTGCATTATTTAAAAATTTTCAGATAGCGTAAAGGTTCATTTGTAATGACGCCCAAAAAAAGAGAAAAGAAAGGAAAAGAAAAGGAATCGAGAAATTTTAGAACGGAAACCGATTTGGACTAAGATGAAGGGAAAAAGGGAAAAAGGAAACAAGAACTTATTGTATTTAGTGCACACAAACTTGCAAATTTGGTACTGCAAGTCGGAATGAAGCCATTTCCACTGAAGAGTTGACCAAGAAATTATGGGCAATTGTCTTGAAATAAACTGGCTAAAAACAAGGAAGGGTTTTTACCTCGATCGAGATAAGCTGAGGGAATATTAATAAAGTTCCCCCGATTGTTTCCATTAAACAGAAAGTCTTCTCTCTGGAGGACATTGCGTCTAAGTCGAAAATCTATATGGATAAAAAAGCAAAATTTGTGATGGAAATGCTACAGCGTCAACATATACTTCACTGGCCAACAGAGTTCAACTGCATGCGAGTGCTCGGTAAGGCAATGACCCGCATGACTAGAATTTATTCAGTTGCATTTCCTCCAATTTATAATTTTGCATGCTATCATTTCCCAGATTATAGAATTGCAAACCACAGTTATTGCTTCTGATACTGCACTCGAAGAGATATCAGAATTTTCCTTTCTTTTAGCTGATGTAAGGGATAGTGGTGCTGGCTCTTAATGTACACGTACTGCTGCCGAAAAAAAAGAGGAAAGACTATTTTGCACTTACACAGATCTTCATCGACATCAGTAAATTCGGGATTTGTAACGTGCAGCCGGTTTCTGGAAGTGCTTAACAAAAAGCCCTCAAAGATGAACGCAGCAAAGATAGTATACTCCAGTTTTAGATGCTTTGACGAATATGTGCCCCCTCGTGAATCGTTGGACCAAATGCTTTGAATTGAAGTTTTAAACAGCTGTTTTACATCCTTGATGGTTAAATTGACAGTCGGTTGAATTGTAACTTCTGTTACTTCAGTTGTGTTTGCAATAAAAGCTAAGGCGATAAAAAAGCGTAAAATCAAAATTATATCAAGCAAAAGGACTGACGCTAAGTGGTATGCATACTTTATATTAGGAATTTTAAAGAGGTTTGACAACGTCTACTCAATTGCAAATTACACTGTTTGCTGTAGAATTTTGAGTAACTTACAGATGTGAGGTTTTGAATAGACTTCAGCGCGGGACGTATAAGATTAACATCGATTTAATAAAAAAGTTGAAAACAGACATGTTACATGTGATCATCAGTGGATGTCACGATCATTTGGACATCCCTTAGTTCCTACAGAACATCTGGGATCAAAAACTTCCGGTTCATATAAACATTGCAATAGACACTGGGCAAAAGACCACTTTGTGAGCAAAATGTACCGCCTATCATAAGCTTGCAGCCTTCCTGCTTTTTCTGACTGATAAGGTGTTGCAAAAACACAGTAAATAACTGGCATCTCTAAACAATTATACTCATGCTTAAGGCGAAGGAATTTAGGCTCGGAACTGTTTTTTTTTTTTCCTTTAGCATCCGAATGTGAAAAAATCATAGAAGAGTCATGATCTCGAAAAAGTTATAATAGTAATATTAATAATAATAATAATAATAATAATAATAATAATGAGAAGAAGAAGAAAAAGAAGAAGAATAAATAAAACAACAAAGTAGAAAGGATCAAACAAAAAAAGTGTAGGGAAATGCTTACTGGGATCCATCCATTTTAACCTAATTTTAAACTCGAAAAATCTGCAGGGTACTTCTTCAAATCTGAGTTTTTCGTCGCGGTTGTTGAAATAGATTTGATATGAAGAAAATCTATGAAATGCATGATAGCAAGGCTGAGTCGATGTCCCTCTTTCATGGCACCATTTAGGGCATAGACCTTTGCGACCGCCGATGGAAAACAGAGAGCATTTTATCCTGTGCCGTGTACTGTTAAGACGTCCTTTGCAGTTGGAATCACCACAATAAATATGCTTCAAGAACGGGGCAGTTACACACTCATGATCCGCAGGAAAATAAACATTGCAGCGAAATAAAGTAAATGAACACTCGGCTATTGGACAAAGTGGAATGAATTAAACAGTTACCAGTCCATTAATCCACTTGAGATTTATTCATTCATCTTTTTTAAACTTTGCTCAAGCTAGCTGATAACGAGGAACTTACTTCGTTCTGCCATTGCCCAGCCGCTTTGAACAACTGCAGGATAAGAAAGGAAAAAAAATGTTACCTTAAATGAAAAGGATTCCGATAACAACTAGTAATACTAGTAATCATTGACTACTAAAGAGCCATCAGTCTAGCTTAGAAGTGAGAATTTTGTCACTGTGTAACAAAAATCCAGGATTTATTCAAACCTACGAAGATCTGATGGTTTCGTAACGCACAGTTCCGATCTGTAGTAACTTATTTCGAATGGTCAACTGGTAACAATTCATCTACATATCATCTT